GTGTGAAAACACTCACACGCTAAGTACATGACTTAGTGAGACATAATTGAGCATAATAAAATATTTAAAACGCTTGTTTAAACATTTTAAAGAAAACATTGAATACATAAAACATGATACATTTCATATAAATAATATATACTTTTAAGCACTTTTCAATTCATATTAACATATTTAAATAGCCAAACACATATCATTGAGAACTCAAGGTATGTGAGTACTTTGAGGTTGTACACTATAATTGCAGTCGAAACTGCCTCGTAGAATTTGCACCGAAGTGCCACGTAGAATATGCACCGAAGTACCACATAAATTTGTCCCGAAGTACCGCGTAGAATTATCCCGAATGACCGCATAGGATTGTCCCGAAGGACCGCATAGAACCTTTTACTCTTGGTATGCCAACTATATCTCTAATTCTCATAACATATACTTTGGGCTTTAACCATATAATTATTTCACATTATATTATTCAAAGTATCATTTATTCACATAGAACACATTCATATTGAACATTTTCACATAAAACATTTTCACGTAGAACATATTCACATATAACATATACTCCTATAATAGGTGAAATTCAAAATCATATATTGTTCTCCATATAAATAATTCATATAATCAATTATAAATAAAAATCTCATAACAACCAGTATTGGGCAGCTCATACCCAAATTATTCACATGCTATAAAAATAATTTATCGTATAAAATAGTTTGGGTAATTCATACCCAAGATCATAATAAAAAAATAACATTTAATAAATCAATATAAAAAATTATGTTTCATAACATAATACAAATCATTTTATTAAAAAAACATTTGAGGTTGGCTTATCGTAAGTCATTACCCAATATTGTATAAATTAAGTTGCACTCACATTTACCTCACTTAAGCCTTAAACAAACATCCTTTTCACTTTCGCTCACTATCTTTATACGTCAATTCGTTCAGCACTTGCTTTCGATCGAATCTACACATTAACTTGACCAATATGAATATCGGAGCTCAATTAATTGTTAATCAATCAACATTTACATAACTAAATAAAACACTTAATTCACAATTTCATGCTGAACAATATTAGTACTCTACACCCAGTACCGATACTTCCCTTCTATGGTACCGATACCTACTTCAATATCGATACTCTATTTGCATTATGAAATTTCCTCTTCAATTACAGCATCGATACCTCACTATCGGTATCGATACCCCCAGTATCAATACCACCCATGAAGTATTGATATTGTTCATCTCATTCATATAGTTTTCTTCCATTTAACCTTATAGTATCGGTAATGTTCTTCTTGTACTGATACCCTTACCTATATTTCACTTATTTCATTTCGAATTTTACCCAAAATTCACCTAAATCTCATAGTTTTGACTCCTTTCATGTCCTTAAACTCAATAACACTTATCAGAACCAACTTACATCAATTAAATCCCTTTTAACATCCAAATTTCCCACTAGAACACTTAAAATTAAAAATTAACCCCACACTTAAAATTAAAAACCAACCCCATTCTTCAAACTTGTTTCCAATCTTTTCTAATACTTCAAACATCTTATTCATACATTTGACAAGTCAAATATACCTTTAAAATCCAATTACTAACCATATTTCATCAACTCCCTTAAAAACTCATTTTACCAAATTATCATTAACTCGTCAATCTCATAGTTTTTAGACATCTTTAAGCTTCCTTAAGCTTCTATACCACCCAAAAACTCAAAATCAATTCAAAAATTCAAGAAACAACCAACTTTAATTAATTCACCTTAGTAATGGAATTATACGATAGAAATGAAGAAGAGAAGAGGAAGAAAGCTTCTAGGGATTTATTTTCCTTTTTCCCCACATGCTTAAATATCCTTAAAAATTAATTTTAAATTCATTTCATGACAAAAGACCATTTTGCCCTTCCATCCTTCAAAATTCTCAAATCAATCCTTGAATATTTCAATTTTTCAAAACCAAACGACTATATTTTCAATTCTTACACTTTAGTCACTGACCCGATGTTTGTGATATTACAAATTTTGCCTATAAAGTAATAGGTTCAGCCTTTTTTACCCTTAACAAGTTAAGTTAAAAGATGAAAATGTTATGAATATCTATAAAAAAATTTGAAAGTATCAATATTTGTGGAAAACTATCGATACTTTGTAGCCTTCTCATTTTCCATGTTTTTTTAAAATTTGAAAGTAGTGGTACTTGTGGAAAATATTGATACTTTGTAGCCTTCTAATTTTCCATTTTTTTAATTTGAAAGTATCGATATTTTGTGAAAAAATATTGATACTTTCCAATTTTAAAAAAAATATTAATATTCTAAATCGCAACATTTTTTCTTAGTGAACCATGATATTATTGGGTGCAATCGTTTTTATTATAGATATTCATAACATTTTCGCTTTGAACTTATTTTGTTATCTTGGGAAAATCTAAGACTCTATCAGCTTAAACCTTAATAATATTTTAGACGCAACCCATTTTGTTAAAAAATTAATATTCTATATTACAACCTACTTTCTTAGTGAACCATGACATTCTTGGATGCAACCGTATTTATTATAAATATTCATAATATTTTCAGCTTTTAACTTATTTTTTTATTATGAGAAAATTTAAAGTTTCATAAGCTTAAACTCTAGTAAGTTAATAATATTTTAAGCGCAACTTAAAATTTTAATCATATTCATAACATTCACCGTTTATAACTTATTTTCTTACCGTTTATATCATTATAGACACAACCTAAAATGTTAATAATATTCATAACATTTATTGTTTATAACTTATTTTCTTACTATTCATAACATTTTATGTGCAACATGTTATATTACTACGATAGATAACTTTTTCAGTTCCGTATTAAAACATTTTATGTTCCGCTTTTAACTTTGTCACCCTTATAACCAGTCACTTCGTTTATTAACAAATAAGCGTCTCACAACAGAACTTCCCCACATTTTTTTCGCTCTATGTAGTACAAATAATATTATTTTTATAAATAATGTTGAATGGATATTATAATCATAAATAAAAATAATATATTTAAATAATAAAATGAATTTAATACACATTAAAAGAAATGAAACTAATAAACTCCAGAACATTTGATTAGGTGATTTTATCACATTATTGTCAAGAGTGAGGGAAAAATAAAGAAAAAGGATAATCACGTGGAACTTTTCTTGTGGCTAAAAATATATATTTTCCCTTTTTTGAAGTCAAGAAAAATGGCCAGCTGAGTCCAAAATTTAGACCACTCTAGAACCTTGCCCGTGCTAAGGAAAACCAGAAAGGTCACATCTGCGGGATAAATTTTCTCCGCCAATTAGGTATAAACCACATCTTTAGCAATAACTTAATGTTGCAATTCAACATTGTAATACTTATGGATGATACAATTAAGCAAAGGATAAACAAAATAATTTTAAGGGTGAGTATGTCATTTAAAACATTAATAATGTGTTAATATGGACTTAGTTGGTTAGAGGTAAATTACATATTTAATACTTAAACTATTAATTTTAGTCTGATTTAGTACTTAAATTTTCAATTTTTCAAAATCATACCCAAAGTTTAATTATTGTTTCATTTCAGTACTCATGTTCAAAATTTAACTTTAAATTTTGAAAAAAAATATAAAAGTTTATGTACTAAAATGGACCAAAATTGATAGTTTAGGTACTAAACACATTAAGCTTTTAATGACTGAGTACTAAATGAAACAAAAACTAAATATTATGTATGATTTAAAAAACATTAAAAGTTTAGGTACTATAACGGATTAAAAACTAATAGTTTAGGGACTAAATGCGTAGTTTACCCTATGGTTAGATTTTTTTAATAATTATTTTGCTTTTAAATTTGATACTTTTTTAATTTGTTGTATGAATTCTTTTATCATTTTAATATCTTGACTTATATTTTTTAAAACGATATATAATATTGATATGATTCACTTAACAATTAGACAAATTATGATATGTGATCTATAATTCTGTTAATATCTTAATTGATTAATACCATGTTAAAAATTAATTAATTATTGAAATGTCAGGTTAACAATAGTATTAATATGGAAAATAAATAAATTCAAGTATTAATATGATTAAAAAATTCAGGAAAATTTGAAAAAGGGGTCATTATATATATTAATTTATTTTGTTTGTGAATATTTTTTTGAATAAGCTAAGGTAATTATAAAATAATATTTGTTTTAAATACTCTCAATCATTTGACAATGAACACTCAATCACCCTACTGTAACCACTGGGGCTCGAATCCATTCAAATTGACTCTAAGTACAATTATGTTACATAAATATTTTTGTGAAATTATTTTCTCAATTCAAAAGATTTTATTAATATTTAACAAAAAATCTTTTAATAAAATTATATTTTTAATTATTCACTCATGTTATACTTGTATTATGTCTCAATTTATGTAATGTTTTTATAATTTATTATAGATTTGATGATTCAATTTTAACTTTAAATTCAACCATTTAAAATCATAGTATTATATTTTTATGCATTATAATTAACATAGATATTATTTTTGTGATTTTATTTATTTAATTTCTAGTTAAGGTTAAAATTATTCTTCAAACAATGGTTTTTTTCTTATCATAATAGTAACGTTTTAACTAGGACATTTTGGAGGACATAAACATGATAAAAAAAAGGTTTAACTTTGAGAGTTCTGTTGGTGGTTTTATGATTGTAAATGAATATATCGCAAGCTATTTAAATTTGATATGTTTAAAACTTGATTAATATTAAATTTGAATGAATTCAACTTATATTTTTAATGAGTTAAAACAAATTATTAGATATCCAATTCCAAAATTTTACGATTAATTTATAAAAATAATATATTAGAATTTTAAATTAAATTATTAATAATATTTATATTTATTTTTTTTAAATATAATATAAGATTTTTTACATATTTTAAGTTGAGAATGTAATCTAAAACTAGCCAGTCGTGAAAAATGGAAGAGCTTCAACTATTTGGTACAAAGTAAAATCGCATACCAAATTATACAACATGCATTATTCTAAAAGGAAACGCTATATCATATCAGACTCCTTGAGGCATTGTTATTGCTCCAAACTGTGTCCTAAGCTACCACTGCCCTTATCTAAAAGATCAGTGCTACTGCATAAGGGCGACTGCAGCCTCTTGAATGAATGGCTGTGTGACATGCACGAATTGTTCGGCTTCCCGCTCCACCTCCTCCAGACACCGACGAGAACCTTTTCCGTTGTTCATCTTCTTCACAAATGCAACAAACCGACTCCAGTTCTCGGGATGAAAGAGCGACGGGTTCATCCTCAAGTACGTAAATGCACACATCTCTCTATCGGCCGGAAAGCCATCGACATCCAACGACGATGCTTGTAAGATCTGCTCGTGCGCGTATTCATCGTAACGGGGAAGTGCATTCTCCCCGGCAAGCGGAACTTGTGCTGCAGCGGTAGCCAAAGCCACTTGCTTGACCAGCTTTTCAGGTGCACATAGAGCATCTTGAGGCTGCTCATGATCACGCATCTCTATGCAAGTGAAGTTGAAAACGGCACCATGTCTTGCTAGCATTTGAGCAATAGGGAGGTAACCATCTCGGTGCCTTGTGTTGTAGTACCCTGCTGTGAGTTCAGGAGCATGGGATCGGGTTCCATAATGCCAGTGGATTCCCGCAATTTTCACAGAGATCTTCACACCTGCACCGTCGAAAATTGATGTCGCGGACGATAGAATTCTCTCACCGTGATCTAACAGCATCTGAGAATACCAGGAGAGGAAGAATTCACCATACGGACTATTCCAACCACCACCTTCTTTCTTGAAGAATGGAGTATCTTCTGGCCAATTGTTGTACTGACCAGCATCAGTTGGCCCTGTGCTACCCCATTCTGGCTTGCCGGCCACTTCGGCTGCCGCTTTTAGGCTGCTAAGCATGTACTGCATCGAATAACATCCACATTAGTTGGCAAGAACACAAAAAAATCATACAACACTTGGCCTAAAACTAGAACTAATGTTAATTACCTTATCATAACATTGGAAGGCTCCAATTCCAGGGAATTTCCATGTCCCATTTGCCTCCGGATACGAAGGATAGCGAAGCTCACCGGCCGGACCCATTCCGACTTGGATTTCCTGCAACGAAAAACAATGGAATTTCCTTAGCAGTTGAATTAAACAAAAGTGAAAAAGGCAACAGAAGGAACATGATTTACCACAATGGTGTCGCCAAGGAGATGTTTGAAATTGTCCCTAAAAGCACGCATGAAATCAGCATAACATTGAACAGGGGTGCGGCCTTTTAATACAGGAAGGGTATCGCAGCCAAGTGAAACGTATTCATAATTCCTTCTTCCCCATTGATCAGTATATGCTAGGTCTGGGTTCTTGTCCATCTCCTCTGTAACCCATTTGGGCAGTGGAATCCTGTACAAAAACAACCATTTCTCCCTTGACTTTCCAGATCCATATCCTAAATCTCAAATAACTATACAATTTTAATAATTTTATAATCAAATTTTATTGAATCCCAATAAATAAATTAATGTCTAACTTAAACGATAATTAATTTTTTAATAAAAAAAGATAAAATTTAAAATATATGGACTTAAAAGATCAACACACTATATTCGATCGATGGATCCTAAAATTATATCATTCTTCAAATCTTGATTTGAGGACCTTATGTGATCATCTTACTAAAAATGAATAAATGAAGGATATGAATGCAAATGATAGCTTACGTGCAAGAGTCACCGACGTTGCCGCCACACTGATGAAAGGACATGACAGCCTGGACTTTAAGCCCGTGTTTCTTGGCCATCTCGAGAAGCTCGGCGTAGCCGCCCCAATTGTAAGCACCCGGCGCTTCTCTCTCCACCAGCCCCCACCAAACGTCGATCATTATCCCCTCCACCCCTGCGCTCTTCAGCGCTTGCAGACTCGCGTTCATCGCCTTCTTCCTATTCACCGTGTTCCCGTACCTCACGCTATCTAACGGCATCATAACGTACACCGGAACCCCTCCCTTCTCCTCCTTCTTCCCTCCCTCCTTCCACGCCACCTCCTCCGTCGACTCCACCGGCGCTAACGTCCCATACGCCTGACAAGCGGCGGAGAGATCTCCACGCAGCTTCGGACTCGTCATACCCGACCTGTTTGCCGCGCTCCGCGGTGTCAGCGGCGGAGTTAACATGGGAGGGGATACAGTTTCTGCGGGAGCGTTGCACCGGAGGCTCGCCAATGGAACTTTCCGAACTCCGGACACATTCGCTGGCGCCGTTGACGGCTGTGCTCCGGTGGGGACTTCCGCCACAATTTGGGTCCCGGCAAGAGTCCCAATCTGGTGTGCCAAATTCAGCGCCATATTTTCCCCAAATTAACAGATAGAAGTGAGAATAAATAAAGATTTGAATTTTACTCTTTGAAATAAAGATGAGAGCGGAGATCGGTAAGAGAGGTGAGATGGAGTATTTATAGAAGGCGAAATTAAAATTTTGACTAATCCTAAAATTTTCGCGACACGTGTCTATTATGATACGTGGCGAAAGCAAAGTCGATCTAGAAGGCAACGGCTACGATTGCTGGACTCATGTGAGAATGGACGGTATAAATTAAAAAGAGGGTAGCGAATGATAAGGTGAACGTGCCTAAAAAATGAACATTCACGTGTCCTATCCTTTAGGCTTAAGACATAAGATAAGGAGATTTTGGTGTATCAAAAAAAAAAGATAAGAAGATTTTGTTTTGTAAGGCTACTTTGACGTCCACGAAAGCGGAAGGCAAGGGGGACAGGTGGCAGTTTTTGAGGGGTAGTTAGAAGGTCTATTAATGCCACCTTCTGTTCTTTAAATTGGGTTATTCAGAAAATGTCAACGGTAGTAAATGAATTGAATGTCAGGCTTGATCGGCTATCGGTGGCTCTGATTCATTTTAGATTCTACGTGTGGACCAGTATTGAATCTTGGATCCATTATGGGGATGCTGCTAACGTCTTTCTTAAGATTTGAATAGTGAAAACGACCCATACCCCATAATTGTAAACATTAAAGAAACTATACATAAAAAATTTAATGGTATTTAAGGAACTCAATTTTTTTAAAATATGTAATTTCTGAAAGCAGTATTTAAATTTAATGTGACATTAAAATTTAATAAAAAATAATTTGGCTTTTATTAACAAAAGCGAACATTAATCATTACGATGCTAACGTAACTATTCACAATAAGCGTGTTTAAATTAACCATTAATTGTAACTGTTAATCGTTATATTTTATATGTTAATTAATTGAATTGTTGAGGTTAAACGGTTTCTATTGATCGAATCACAAAAGTTATTAATTAATTGTCACGGTAGGATTACAATTACGATTATGCATTTTATTAAATGACCATTGGTTAATCGTTAATGAATTATAATAATAAATTATAGTTTTTTTATGGATAGAATTAAAATAGAAATATAAATTTTATGAGATTAAGATTTTAAACTAAAAAATAATATACATCTTAATATAAATGATTTATAAAAATAAAATGCAACTAAAAATGTATATGTTTCTATCATCGAAAATTTTATGAAATATTAATGTTTTGGTGTCTTTGAAAAAATTGTAACAGAGTAATCATAGGTTAACCTATAATTGAACCGTTAATAACGGTTAACTACTAATTGTTAATTGTTTCTTAATAGTTAAGTTATGATTAGCAAAATTTAGTAAGCGGTATAACGGTTAACTGATCATCTAGGTTAAACGGTACGATTAACCGACCATGAACACTACTAGTTCATGGTGCTGACATTATGATCCTCAGTGAATGATGACGTGGTAGAAGAGCTAAAATTATTTTTTTTATTCGAGTTTGAAGGTTAAATTGAATTTTTAAAAAGTTTCAGAGATTATTTTAAAAAATAAAATTATTTTAAATTTAAAATAGAAAAATATTTAAAAATTCAAAAAAATATAAATACAAAATTATTAAAAATAAAAAATTAAATTATTAAAAAAGAATTAAAAACATAATTAAAATATATATTACAAGTTATAAAATGATAGATTATAAATTACTTAAAAACTAAAAGTTCAAAATTATTCCAAAAACATATAGTAGTATACATAATATATACATGTAATAATATGGACACCAAGATAAATTAATAATATTCATATAATTGAATTAACAAATCATGTATGTTTTTAATTTCATATACTTATCAACTATTACTATAGATGTCATATACTTTTATTCAATAATTATATATATATATATATATTAAACATGAGTTCATTACCATATAATCATATCTTCAACAGTTATAAAAAATATTAAGTAAAAGGGTACTTGACGCTCATGAACATTTCCAAAAAAAAAAATAAAGTGACCCTCTATATTTTTTTTGTACTCAATATGACCCTCAAACTTATAAAAAGAACCCAATGTGGCATTTTGACCAATAATTTTTGTCGTTGACCGTTATGATACTGACATGATACTTCACGGTGCTGATGTGGCGATCCACAGTGCTGACATGATAATCCACAGTGGCTAGTGAAATGACAAATAGGCTAAAAAAATTCATGTTCGAGGGCCAAATTTATTTTTTAAAGTTTAATGGCTTATTTAATTTTTTAAAAATAAAAAGTATTTTAAATTTAAAATATTAAAATATTAAATATAAAAATACCAAAAATAAAATCTAAATTACTAACAAATCAATATATATTATTTTGTTTTAACAATAAAAATAAAATAAAACTCATATTAGAATTCACCTCTAAATTCTAATGTGAATTTTATTATATTTTTATTTTATAAGACGTATTTGCTATTCCTTGATTTTTTTTTTAAATATTGGGGTGATATAAAAAATCTCGAACACGTGGAGTTCATATCTACCTTTACTTTATACAGTTATGTCTAATAGAAATTGACGGGGTAAGTCGATATTTCTACTTTTTCATAAGATCAAATTTAGGTGAGGTTTACTTCTCTTTATCATGTTATATTCACTAAAAATACTTCTCTTAATTGAATAAGTGTTTTTAAAAAATTTTAATTATATAGTTTCATGATAATTTATAAATAAATTTTAATTTCATAATTTTTAAAATTTCTTTTTTTATAAAACTTTATAATACTTATTTAATTCATTTTTACAAAAAAAATAGTGAAATAGAATTTAAAAGACATTTAAAATTTAAGATATTGGATATAAATATATAATATAAAATTTGTGCATGATGAATGAATTTATATTTATATATATATAAGTCAAGTTAAATTTGAGGTAAAATAATAATAATATATATTTTTAATTTTTGAATAATTTAATTTAATTTTTGTATTATTATTTTGAATTTTGAATTTAAAATATTTTTATCTTTTTAGAAAATCAAATAATCCCTTAAACTTTTAAAAAAAATCAATTTGGCCCTTGAACTTTAAAGAAACCAATTTAACCCATCAGCCACGTCACCAACCATGTTAGCATTATGGATCACCACATCAGCATCATGAAGCACCACATCAGTATTGTAACGATCAATGACAGAAAATGTTGGTCAAAGTGTCACATTGGGTTCTTTTTATAAGTTCGATGGCACATTGAGTGCAAAAAAAGTCGAGGGCCACATTGTTTTTTTTGGAAAATTACAAGGGCCTGAGATACCATTTTGCTCAAATATTATTATTGGATTAGTCAATGCTTATGAATTTTGTATGTAAATATAATTAAGAAACATAGTAACTTATTCATATCACTACGTACATATAATCATATTTCAAACAACTTTAAAGACTATTAACAAGCCCTTGCACATTATATAACAAGATAGTAAATAATGTGACCCTTAAAAATTGTCTGAAATATGATTAGATGTGTTTATTGATGTTAAAATCTTATGATATTTCCTAAGTATATTCATATGCAAAATCCATTAGTCTTGATTAATCTAGTACGAATATTTTGTATAAGTGTTGATAATATGACTATATGGTAATCAAATCATGCGTTTAGCATGTGTACATGTACGATAAAAGCGTATGACATCTTTAGTGATGATTGATATTCAATATCATTTTACAGTTGAACATCATTATCGAGTAAAAAAATTTTATGCTAAAGTTGATGTTCAACTACAAGAGTTAAACAGTAGATTTAATGCGAAGTCGATAGAGTTATTAACTCTTGGTTGTGCTTTAGAGACAAGAGATGGTGACAAATTTTTCAAGGTTGAAGATGTTTTCAATATTGTGAATACATTTTATCCGGAGGATTTCACGGAAGTTGAAAAGAATGACTTACGAATATAATTGCGTCATTATGAGGTGGAGTTATCTTGGAATTCATGTCTAAGAAAATTGTTGACAATCTCTTACCTAAATTAGTGGATCCTAGGAAAGTGAACACTTATCCATATATATTCTGAACGATAAAACTTCTATTGACTCTTCCAGTTTCTACATGAAGTGTTGAAAGAGCTTTTTCTACAATGAATATCATCAAGACAACAATTGACAACAAAATGGAGGATGAATTTTTTGAGAGTTGCATGCTTATCAACATTGAAAGAGATATTGCAAAGAGCTTTAGTACAACATCGCTCGTGGATGTATTTCGAGATTTGAAGGAACGACACGTTTTACTGCGATTATGCGATAGTTATGATTTTTGCAATTTTTTAAAATCGTATTTTTTATTATTTACTATAATTTAATTTTTAATTTTTTCTTTGTTATTTCATATAAATATAGAACTAAGCATCTTTGATGTTATCATTTATATTTTTTGAACTAAACAAATAACAAAGGTAAAAGTATATATATAACTTAAAGTTGTTAAAAAGATTCGGCCTCTGTTAATGGCTTTGGCATCCTGGCTGAAACTGTCTATGTCGTTTTGTTCCTCGTATATCCACCAAGAAAGATGAGGGTACGTATATTTCATGGAGAATATATAAACTGAAAATCAGATGAATAAAAGGTTTTATTATGAATGAATTTGTAGGTGAAGACAGGGATTTCGGTAGGGATATTAGATGTGGGATTTCTTGCAGCAGCTGTTTTGGTTACTCGTTTAGCATTGGAAGGAAAAACTCGAATCGATGCAATAGGGCTCATGTGCGATGCCCTTAACATCATCATGTATGGCTCCCCTTTAGCTGCCATGGTAACACCTTTTATTTCTTATTTATTCTATCCATTTTCTTTTGTTCATCCCATTTCTTATTTCTCATCTTTGAATCTATCTATTTAACCAAAAATAAAATATGGCATCCAGAAATATTAATTATTTGTTTGTTTTTTCTCTTTTGGTAAATAAATTCAAGCTATCGGGTTAAACTTTTAACAATCTTATATACCGGTTTTTTAAAATATTAAATTGTTGTATCCTTTTATAATAAATAAATAGCAGTACAAAATTAAATGAATTGATGAATAAGTAT